TCTTTCATATGACAGTGAAGACAATAACTTATTAAAACATATTAGAAATAAATATGGCACTAGAAAATTCTAGGGGAAAAAGAACAGAAATGTTGCAAAGATAAATTTGCAACTGCTAGCTATCAGAGATAATAAAATGTTTGTTTGGGTCAAATTTCCCTTTTAGACCTTCAGCTTTCATCTAAATCGTACATTTGATCAAATTCACTTTGTGCAAGCCCCTGTTTAACTGGGCCAAAAGAGGATGGATCTGTGTTCACTCACCCTGTTAAGACTTGACCTCGACTCAGGTTCACAACAGAGCTGGGCAGGCTCAAGTCAGCCCTTGTCTAATGGAAAGGTACCCTGAGAGTCGGTCAACAGCACGAGACAAACACAACAAGTACAGCAGATAGCAGAGCCCCCGAAAACACCCGCTTCCCCGGCCACACCCCACTCCAGACACTGATTGCTAACAAGGGAGCACTAACATCATCAGGCTTACAATAAAGTCTTTGCTGATTCTGAAACTTTCATTCTTCAACCAAAGCAGGTGTGTCCTGAAGTACAGTTCCAGCTGCTTTGTTTTGTTCTAACAACTGGTTTATCATTATTGGAAGATCTTTAAAGTAATGCTGTGGTACTGTGCAGAGAATTTTTTCATCACCTGTGTGTGATCTTGATTGATCATATGTACAGTCATGGGAAATGATAAAATTAAATATAGTAAGCAAGGGAGAAAGAAGGAATAATGTGGTGTGAGTTTCGTCCACTGTACTCTGGAAACATTAATTCAAATGAAAAAATGTAATTCTTTTTTTGGGGGGGGTTTTGAGACAGGGTTTCTCCGTGTAGTTTTGGTGCCTGTTCTGGATCTCACTCTGTAGACCAGGCTGGCCTAGAACTCACAGAGATCCACCTGGCTCTGCCTCCCGAGTGCTGGGATTAAAGGCATATGCCACCGCCGCCTAGCGGAAAAATGTAATTCTGTCAAATGTTGGGGCAACAATTTGACAGAAGGCTCCCATGGAAAGGAGGGAAATGTTTGGGGGCCAGGCAGTGATTAGAGGGTGATATGTGTACACGAGGGTGTAGCTGCATCTGTCTCAGCAGGTTAAGAGCAGATAAATAGAGAGGCAGGACGATGGGGGCTCTCTTTGTGTTTTCTTTTTTTCTTTCTCCAAGTTACTATTTCTGAGATGAGAATACATTCATGTATCTTCTGGAGAGACGGCTCAGTGGTTAAGAGTGCACACTGGTTCACATGGGGGTCCTGGGTCCTTGACTCTGTCTTGGATAATTGCATAAGCATGTGTCCATATAGTTCCTAGGGTCATATACTAAGCTGGCCGCAGGGAACACTGTGTGCAAAGCTGGACCCCAAGAAGCAGACACTCTAGAACAGGAAACCAGGCAAACTAAACCAGAGCTTCAATACAAGGCACTTCCTGGGTATCAAGATTTATGTGTCCCTCCGTCTCTAGACTCTAAAATGATCATAAGACTTCTAGAAGCATTGCTGTAGACAATTAAAAAGGCTAATATATGTAAAAGAGACTTTGAGTAACAGTGACATTTAAGATATGGATAAATAATAAACACGGCACAGTACACATCTTGTTATAGGAAAATGAAACAACGGAAGTCCATACTCCTTTCAACTTCTCTGTCCCCACAAATACGTCAGAGGTCTTTGGCTGCTCGACGGACACCAAGTGCCATGCATGCCATTTTCCTGTGTAGTCCACAGCAGCAGGGACGTGTCCTCGTCCCTGGTCTGCAGATGGTGAAACCGTGGCTCCGAGAGGTCACACGACACTTGCCCAAGGTCACTCAGCTAACAAATTGGGATTAGAGCCAAATCCATCTGACTCCAAAGGCCTTGGACTTGCCACTGAAGATCCCTGACAGCCCACAGCTGCTGTGCAGGGAGGCTTCAGGCTACCGTTCACTTGAGGAACACAGTGGCCACCATGTGCTGAGCAGGCGCCGCCAGCCCTGATTTCCACTAAGTCTCACAGGTTAAGCAGCAAGTCACATATCCCTCCCTCTCAAGCCCACAGCCTTGAAGGGTTTCTACCAAAGTCTTGAAAACCGAAGCAGTTAGCCTCAACTTCCTCGTGAGCTGGGGTGGTCAGTTTCAGCAGATAAAACTACAGAAGGCTGAGTTCGATTTTAATTTCAGTTTCAGAGGAAAAACAATTTTTGAGACAGTACTTCACTACGTAGACCTGACTGGTCCAGAACTCACAGAGATCCCCCTGCCTCCCTCTTATGAATTAGGACTAAAGATATGGGCCACCACACCCAGAGAGGAAAAATCAGTGTGTGTGCGTGTGTGTGTGGGGGGGGTGTATGTGTGTGGGGGTGTGTGTATGCGTGTGTGTGTATGTGTGTGTGAGTGTTTGTGCGTGTGTGTACGTGTGCTGTCTGTGTCAGTGTTTTGTACATATGTGGTTTGTATGTGTGCATGCATGTCCATCTCATGCATGTGTAGAAGTATGTATGGAGGAAGCAGGAAGTGCACAGACACTGAATGTCTGTCTCCATCACTCTCTACTTTATTTATTTACAGGAGCAGTATCTCTCTCTGAACTTGGAGCTCACCAGTTTGGTTAATCTGCCTACCCAGCTCAATTCAGAGATTCCAAAGTGCTGGGATTATGGGTGGCCCACTGCAGCCTGCTTGGTTTATACATGGGTTTTCAAGACCTAAACTCCGGCCCTCACTCTTAAATGGCAAGCACTGTTTCCAATGAGCCATCTCCCTAGACATAATTTTTAAAATACCAGTATATCCTGCATAATGTCTGAAGGCCCAGCATTTGGTTTTATTTAGCAGTCAAGATCTGACCTGACTTCCGAGCCTGGCTGGGGGCAGAGCTCTGGCTAAGACTTGGTGGAGGGGGAAGCAGAGGGAATTAAACAGTTTATGCGAATCTTTATCTGAGTCTGGCAGGAGTTTAGCTTCCGGATTAATTCCTCTCTCACTCCAACTCTGAGGAAGAAGTAAAGGTTCACACCTGCTTCCCAGGAGAAAGTGGAAGTGGACACTCAGTTGGAGAGCAGTTATTTCCTCTTCTTTCTCACAGGAGGAGTAACAAATGCAGGAATTGTCAGAGACTTTTGGATATTTCCTTTGGCCCTTGAGTGTGTGCACAGAGGGAACTATGTTCTAAGTGCAGCTGTGAATTACAAGAATGGCGGGAAAGGCCAGCGGAGAGGGACGCACAGGCACAAAGCGTCAGGGTGGTGTGTGCAGAAAGCCGAGGCCTTTGTGTATATGTTCAGACTACAGCTAGAGCCTCTGGTGTCCACAAGAGAAGCTTTGGAAGTGGAAGAGAAGCCTGTCTAGAGATATCGGGCCTCGGATGTCAGGCTGTGGGTCTGAATTCTACCCTGAAGACAATGGAGTCCCTGAGGGATCTCCAGCAAGGGAGTAGCCTGCCTGATAATGATTTGATTTCTCTGTATTTGGTTATCAGGGATCATGAACTACTTTCCTGTCCTGGCTACTTACATTTCTTCTGTTTTGAAACCCCAGTGGTGCAGTGCATCAGAACTCAGGACATCTCTTCCCTTTCCTCATTAACCATCATAATCTTGGAGAAGGGGGTGGCTAGTCCATTGCATTTTTACCACACCCCTCATTTTTCTTTTTAATCATAGAAATGTTAAAAGTCAAAACCTACTTCTGAATTTTACATAAGCACATGCACATTCACATTTACAATTTCTTTTTGTTGCCAGACATTGGACCAGAGGCCTCATGCATTCAAGGCAAGCACACCCTGCCATGAACTATGTGTCTAATGTCATGTGTAGATTCTTTTGTCATCCTGGTCTTCAGAGAGAATAACTCAGGCATATTATTGATAAACATAAATTTGCATAAAAAGCAAATAAGCCCACATATATACTCTACTTTAAATAACAGCTTCTAGCGTTTTTTTTTAACTTGCATATGAAATGTTTCTTATACTTAACTCTATAATTCATCTGGAATTCATTCTGAAGTATGTTAGAAGTGTTCTCTCATTCTTCCTCAGTGCCTGTGCTGACTAAATCCACGTCTTACTGCTACCATATCTTCCTTCTCGTAGAGTGGGCTTCCTATGCAGGTCTCAGAAGAATTACTCTGGTCTTACACTGTGTGTTCATTCCTGTGCAAATCCCACACCATTTCTATTACTGTCACTTACAAATTCATTTTAACCTCCAAATCTCCTGATTCAACTGCGAATCAGAGGCTGGGGAGATGGCTCATTGGGTAGAGTGCTTTTCGTGCAGGCATGAGGACGCAAGCTTGAAGCCTCAGCATCCATGTGAAAGCTGGACATGATGGAGAACACCTATAACCCTGGTTCTGAGAGGAGCAAAGATGAATAGATCCCAGGAGCTCGCTCACCAGACATCGGACTGAAAAGGTGAACTTTAAATTCAGTGAGTGACCTTGTCTCAAAAACTAAAATGAAAAAGGGATAGAGAAAGACACCTGTCATCAACCTCTGGCCTCTAGACATGCATGCACAGGCAAGTACACCCATGTACACATGTACACACACACACACACACACACTGCAAACATAAAAATAAAAATAACTTAAAGTGTTGGATTCTATGAAAAATCCCCCTGATATTTTTTAGTAGGCACATCATTCACCTCCCTTGTTCTAACCTACAGAAAACATCATGACATTGATGAAATTATCCTTATCCTACAAATGAGGTAGGTGGGGTTGAAGTATAGCTCAGTGGCAGAGCACAAGCTTGGTGTACATAAGACCCTGGGTTCAGTCCCCAGCAACATGTATCATAATAACACAAATGGAAACTAAGATTGGGAGAAGTCTCCTCTGTGCCTAAAACACACACACACACACACACACACACACACACACACACACACACACACACACACACACACACACACACTCACTGCTTCTTCCTTGCAACTCAAATGTTTCAATGTTCAGAATGCTCTGTGAATTCAAAAGCAAGGAAATTGGAGACCTACTTACCTTTACCAAGCATACATTGAGCACTTGCTGTATGTCTGGTACCAGGGACAAGGATGGACAAGACACAATGCCTACTCTGGTGGTCTTCCTGTGGATAATAACAGCATGGTACATTGTTATCTCCAAGTAATAGTTCCTTACATTGTGCACTTACACACCAGATGTTGTTTTAAGTTATTCACTTACATCTTCTCTCTGTGTTCTCCAAGGGAGCATGTGAAGTTTGGAGACTGTCGCACACATCTACTTTGCATACAAGAGCACCAAGGCTCTTGCCCAATATGGCCAAGTTGCAAAGGGGCCAATCTAACACAATGAAGCCTGGCTCAGAGCATGAGCACCAGCAGGAGCTGGGCCACTGTAAGAATGAGCATGGGAAGCCTGTGGGTCCCAGAGGAGCTACCTCATGAAGCCAAGGCATTCTCCCTGATGGTGGCTTGAGTCAGGAATGCAGTGGGCAGAATGGACAGAAAGAATGGGCTTCTAGGCCTAATGACCATCTTCTGCAAAGCATTAGGCGGGTAGAAGGTCCAGGATGCGGATAAAGAATCTTGACTGTGATCGCTAGTGTTTACTGGGTATCTGTTCAAGGTCAAGTGTTTCCCTGGGCTTTCTGAGCACAGTAACTGTCAGCAGCCTCATGCAAATGGTAATAGCTCATTTTACAGATCAGAAATGTGGGGTGCTGGAGACTAAAGTCACTTCACCCCAGCTTACAGGTGGTAAGAAGCACAGCCAGAAATGCACATAGAGAAAGACACATTTTTTTTAAAAAAAAAAAAAAAAGGTCTCAAGAACCATTTTGAGTTGTAAACCCATAAAACTAGAAAATCAATACAGAGTGTGGGCTCACAGTCATGGTTGGATTTACAATGAACCTGAGCAACAGGTGATGTTCACCCTTATCTGTGTCCTTAACCGGGATGCACACTGGGCTCCTATGGTCTCGTCTGAACACCATTACTAACTCACTGAGGAGGTTGGCATTTTTCCCATTTTGCAAATGAGAAAATGAAGGCTCTGAGGAAAGAAGTAAGGTTTTCATCAGTAGAGAGTGAGAGAGGCAGAATCAGAACTGGTGTGTACCTAGTATGAAAGGCCAGTTGTCCTACTTCAGTGGAGGAAATGGTACGTACACACACACACACACACACACACACACACACACACACACACACACACGCTCATGCACATGCCAGTGGGTTTCAATTCTCACCTGTGAAGGAGTAAGGGCTCCCCAGCCACCGTGAAAGGTCACCTCCTGATAGTAATTAAAATGGAGAGCTGAGAAAAGATGAACCATTACAAAGCATTCCTGGCATTCTTGCCCACGGCAGTGACAATATTAACTTTCACTTGGGGACATCAATAGGAGATCTGCATCAGGGTTTGAGAAACCCCCTCAGTTTCCCCCCTCTGTGTTGGGAAATCTCTGTCCTCCATGTCCAGATACCCACGGCTTGGGCCAGCACACTGAAAGGCTGGTCCCAGACCCAGGCTACCATGTGAACACTACCCATCTGGAACGAATTTGGGCACCAAAGACCGTAATCATTTGTGATCCTGAGAACACACACCAGAGGCAGTTCACTGGGGACTTTAAAGACAAACCAAGAAGAGCCAGACTGAGCCAAGCATGTAAACACATAAAAAGTTTGCATGAGAGTATTAGGGGGGAAAGCAGTGTGGGAAAAGCCAAGAAGAGACCTGGGGGAAGCTGGCTGCACAGAGGTGGGGTCTCCGTTCTGCTGGATGGCATGGTCACGGCTCAGCTTGCCACACAAAATCATTGGTCCAAGTGGCTTAGATGGGGTTTGCCAAGCAGCTGAGGTCCCTCAGATGGATGGAGTAAATATGTTGGTCAAAATCAACATCAATTTCAGTGTATGTGTGTATTTAGTTGGACCCAGCCAGACCCAGATATGTAGGTGAGCAAACATGTCAACTGAAGTATAAATACATGAAAAAATGCATCTTTTTTCATAGAAACAAAAATGAGAATTTGCTATTCCATATCAAACAACTTCAGTGGGAAATAATAATATCAAAGGTTAGTAAAAATGTCAAGAAAGGGGAACACATCAGTCTGGCTGTTGGTCGGGTTTAGTTACACTTGCCTGGTTGAAAAGTTTTCTTAGGCTTTGACTCCAGTGCCCATATAGTTTGGGTGAAAGCCAGAAACCATTAAGACATACAGCAGCTACAGCAAAGGTCAGTTGGAGATACAGACACAGGTTTTGCATCGACAATCAAGAACATTATACATAATCACAGAAAAGTATTTTTTTGCTAGAATGTAAAAGAATTGGCTTACGAAATAGTATTTGAGCTATGCTTGCGATAGTGGAAATATGTATCTGCAAATAGACAGAGACAAAAAAGAAACAGACCAGAATGGGACCAGTAAGGCTAACTTCTGATGTTTCAGTGGATACAATATTTGTGTAAGAAAGAAAAAATCGTACTCGTAAAAAAATGACTGCACTCTGATCGTATCAAGGGTCAAATTCCTTATGGGCTAGAGCGCTATTCAGAACTTCAGGGAAGCTCCACTAACTCTTCCAACGACTGCTGAGAGACCATCAAATGTTACAATAACAGTAACAAGAGGCCGGGGAGTCAATGGGACTTCCAATTTTACCAAGTTAACTCCCAGGACATAACGAGCATTAAGACAATCTGGCCCAACAAGACCAAATATAGAAGAGACCGACCAAGTCACACCGCGTTTGCCAACCTAGTATGGGCAATCCCAGCACGCACCCCACGGCTGGCTTTTCCTCCTGGGAGCACTTGTGTAGAGGGCTGGCACAAGCCACAGAAGAGAAGATGGCTGCTTCCGGCACCAGACTGGAAGCTTCTCATCTCTGACCTGCCTCCTGTCATGTCCTTACGCACATTTCCTAATGGAAGAAGAGGTGGTGACCACACACACTGCCAGCACAGACGATCCTTAGGACGGGAACTGAATGTATGTGTCGTCCTTACCACATAGCTAAAGCCTGCCTGTGTGTGAGGTCTCCTTCAGAAGCATGTCTTTTTTTTTTTTTTTTTTTTTTTTTTTTGGAGCTGAGGATCGAACCCAGGGCCTTGTGCTTGCTAGGCAAGCGCTCTACCACTAAGCTAAATCCCCAACCCCCAGAAGCATGTCATTTTTACACCTTACGTTTTTAAGCTAAATCCAGTACTCTAATTTAGATTCTGTTTCACTGCACTGTGAGGTCACAGTCTCTCCTGAAGCAGAGACCTGTGTCCCGAATTAAGCCAGAGTCTCTATAATGCTGTCATCATCACAGGCCTCAAAACACTTACTTACCTTCCCATGGCCAGTTACAACTACGTTATTCAGTCATATTCTAGAAGCCAGAAACCTAAAATCAGTTTCACCAGGCTAAGGTCAAGAATTCACACGGCCAGGCTTCCCACCTTCATTCCTCCTCTAGCTCCTGGTGCTGCTAGCAATCCTTAGTGGCCACAGTACCTTCTTCTCTTCTGGGCCCAGCCTCCCCCCTCCTCTTTATTATAGGCCACAGTAGTGGCATTTAAAGCTCTCTAAAATAATCTCCTCATCTAAGAGCTGTGATGTAACTGCATCTGCAGAATCCTTCTTGCTGTATAAGGCAATGTTTCCTGGTTCTGGGATTTGAAATACAGATAGATGGGCTGGGTGGGGGAGGGGAGCTACAATGCAAATTAAAGACGGAATTGATTGCGCGTTTCCTAGAAGTGGTACGTGAGCCTTTTCTGTTCCCAAGAAACCTCTTGGGGCATAAGCTTACCCGCTCATCTGGCCTCTTTTCAACATTGTGTCCTCTAGACTAGACTGTTTGGGGAACTGGCGATATAGACATGGGTAAAACTAGCCTTGCCCTGAGTATTTTAGAGCCCAGGATGGAATGATAGTTAAGTAAACAACAATAATTTGCTATTTCCTGTGCCAAAATAAAATGAAGAAAGTATTGTGACAGCCAGCTGCGGGAAAATCCAGAGACACTCACCATGACTGTGGTCATTTCCAAAGAGTGTGCCAAACAGGCCAAGGAGGCACAGGAGACACTGCCACGGCCTAGAAGACCACCTGGGAATGAGACAGAAGCAAGTATCATGTAGCCTGTGGTAAATGGGAGAGAGGGCTAGCAGGCTGGCCAGTAAGGCTGCCTCTAAAGGTCTGTATGTCTGTCTCATGTAGTAGTTGGGGGTCATGCAGTCAAGTGAACTGAAACATGTTCCCACAGGGAAGAGCAAGCAGAAAAACACATTCTACTGTCTAGAGACCTTCAAAAGATGGCCCTTCTAACAGAATTCCCTCCCCACCAGCAGCTACGAGTGGAGCGCTCCTTCTCGTGGCTGAAAGTAATGGTCCCCAAAGAGAACAGGGTACCTCTAGGACACCAGAGGAGACCTCCTGCATAGGAGTCTCTCTTAGAGAAGAAAATTGTCCAGGTTGATAATATGGTCACAGTCACTTTCCAGACAGCACACAGGCTGCTTCCCTGGGATGGGTTCCAGTCATCTCCCGATGACACCAGTGATGGTTCCTTCACCTCAAGGCCACCTATATTAATCTGTCTCCCATCGCTGTAACCAAATGTCCACAAGCTGCATGCTTATGAAAAAAGAGATTGATGCACTTCACAGTTTGGGAGACACACTCCCCTGTCAAGGACCCCTTGGTTGTATCACACATGGCAGATATGTATCACACATATCAAAGAAGGACTGCTGCTGTGGGCCATAGAAATATGTAGTAGGAATTCAGCTAACTATGACAAAAACCATTACCTGGAAGGTCAAGGACTTTCCAGAGGAAGCCAAGGCTCAAAGAGTATTGGTATTATTTGGCTTTTAATATATCAGCTGTTTTCTGCTATTAGTTTCATGTGCTCTATCATAGCTTTCCTAGTTGATTCTTTTTCCTAAGAACTTCTAAACGGTGTGGATTGATCATCCCTTGGGCATATACAACTCAGGCAAGGCTTCCTGATTCCAGGCTTTCTGCTCCTTCTTTTTAGCATTAGAACTCAGATGTCTGTCTTCTGCGATTATCTCCTTTAACAAGCACACAAAGCCAGAGATAGCTCTGAACAAAAGCATCCAAGGACAAACGGCAGACAGAATAAGCTCTCCAGACTACCTGCTAATCTCTTGAATTAAGGTAAATATCCATAGGGAGACACTACCTAGGCCAGGTGGACATTAGGTACATAGCTTTGTTTCTTGTGCAAATTAAGCTCAGACCCCCCTTTCTTTCACAGCCCAAGTGACACCCTCCAGCAACTAACTTAGAACAGAAGGGCTTTTTCATATGAGGTGCATTCAAGCTATGACACAGGTTTCCTAGCTCCAGTAGACTTACTCCTCCAGACCAGAAAGCAGCAGGGCCAGAGTATTGTTGATTGTAGGTACTGAGATGGGTCACAGGGAGAGGAAAGGAAAGAACGGGGATGGGGAGAGGAATGAAGATGAGGATGAGAATGAGATGGAAAGAACTTAGATACAGCTATGAGAGGACAGGAGGAGAAGGGACAGAGAAGAGCTAAGTATGGGAGCGGAATTGAATCTGTATGGATAGAATTTTGTCTGAGAAGAATAAAGTGAGTGGACTAAAGAGTTTCATATAAGTAGATTCATTTGATATCCCTCAGAATAGTAACCACACCACTCATAGGTCTTCCCTAGGACTCCGGGAGAAGTCTCCTCAGGGTGGGCACCTGAGGGGCTTTTGATAGACTGTATACAAGAGGAGGAGACCAGAAGCAAACAGACCAGCCTAGTTCTTTTATGAAAATCTGTTCTTTTTTAAGACACTGATTTTGTTAGTGATTAATTTATTTTTATGTGCATTAAATAGAGTTTTGCCTGCATGTACGTCTGTGTGTCAGATTCCCTGGAACTGGAGTTACAGACAGTTGTAAACTGCCACGTGGGTGCTGGGAATTGAACTCGGGTCCTCTGGAAGAACAGCCAAGGTTCTTGACTGCTGAGCCATTTATCCTGCCCCCAGATCTGTTCTTTAAGACAAGTTCTCACTGTATAGTCCAGGTTGGCCTTGACCCTGGGACCATCCTGCCTCAGCCTCCCAAGTCCTGGGATTGTAGGTGAGTGCATTACACTCACCTCAACCACTCTTAAATTCAGTCCCAAAACAGCATTAGTTCCTTCTGAAGGCAAGGCCCCCAGTGAGCTAAGACCTCCAGGAGGCCCCATCTCTTACAGGTTCTACCATTTCTTAATAATGCCTCAGTGGGACCAAGCCTCTGTCATACGAAGCCTTGAGAGACACGTTTAAACTACATCCAAACCATCATGCCTTTTCTCTCATCGACACACCCATGACTGAGCTCTAAATAATTTCACAGCTCCAGATGGGACCATATAAACCTTTGACTTCATGGACAAAATCTTAGGTTATGACCTAGGATTTCAGTGTTCCTCCAGGTTCTTCAACGTTCCTTCCTGCAGGAGCCTGGAAAGTAGCAGGGTGTGCTGACTCACTTGTAATCTCAGCACTCCAGAGGTAGAAGTCAAGAAGATTACCATGAGTTCAAGACCAGCCTGGGGAACACAGCAAGAACCAAACTTAAAAAGGAAGAGGAGGAAATGTAGAAGAGGGAAGAAGGAGGAGAAGGAGGAGGAGGAGGAGGAGGAGGAGGAGAAAAAGAGACTAACAAGAAAAACACAACAATATCACCAGCAGGCTAATGACTTTCCTCCCCTCAGTCACATTTACAGCCTTGCTGCCTATGGTGAGAAATCCGCATGTCTTTTCTTGCAGAGACAGTGAGGTCTTGGTGCCTAGGCTGTGCTTCTCAGACACAACCCAGTCCAAAACATAAATACCAATGGAAATACACAGTGCTTACTGCCAAACTTGTCATGTGTGTTCGTAAAATGAAACTGGCTGGCCCTGAATCTTTCTGGCTCTCAGTAACATCATTGGTCCATCTCAACACCTATGTTATAACTAACTCTTTCCTCTTCTAAAAATCCCACTGGCTCTCATGCTTTTGCTAAACAGACGTAAAGAGAGATAGGGCAACAACTTGGAAACCACCAGCCTGCTCAGACTTGTGCCAGCTGCTTTCTGTGTTTGTTCATTGACAACACCACAGCCTGGCATGTGTAGGTATGCCTCACTGTTGTATAGATGAGAAAATGGAGGCTCTGAGAGGGGAAGTGACTTGACCAAGGCCACATGGCAAAACCTTGGTGACCTGAAACCACAGCTGGTCCATTTGACACTAGTCAGACTGGTAGAGATGTCACGTGTGCATATGTATAGGCATGTGTGTTTGCATGTGGATTACATAATCTTCTCAGGTTTGCTGCTTTCCACTGGCTGACAGCTAGACTGGCTCCAGGAGCCATGGCTGGCTGAGCATAGCCTCACATTCCCTGTGCATCCTGGGAGTTCACTGTAGTGAAGAGTTTGCTGTATTTTCCAGAATACACATCTGCTTTGCCTTCTCATCTGTTATTTAGACTAAGGAAACTGGGTTTCAAGGAACATTCCATCTCTCTACTCTCATCTGTCAGGATTATGTCCATGGCACTCAGTTTACCACGAGATTCTATCCCAAACAACCCATTGTAAGTTGAAACAACAAAAACCGATTGCATATTTAATATGCCCCACCTTCAAAACAGCATGGCTAAGACCCATCTACCTTACATGTGCTCAGAATGGCTCTTATGCATGCACACAGTCACAGCTACTTTGAGGTCATTTTCAGCAAATACTATATCACGCAGATATCCACTAGCTCTGGCTCCTACAAATCTTTCTACCCCTTCTTCCACAATGCTCTCAGCCTTGGGAGGAGGAGGTGTGATACATCTGGCCCATTTAGAGCTGAGTCACCCACAGTCCTTATTCTGTCCACTGACTAACTGTAAGTCTATGTATTAATCACCATCCACTCAGAACAAGAAGCTTCTCTGATGAGGCTTGAGAGATGCATATGGGTATAAAGATAAGAATTTGGGGGAAAGTTATTATTACAGCCATTTAGTAAAATAATAGTATTAGGTTCTTCCCTAGAGCCTATCCCTTAGCAGTCATGGGTTTTTGGACCAGTTGGTAATACCAAGCAAGAGTTCTGCCTTGTGGAATGGGCTTTAAATCTAATCAGAAAGTGGTTGGTTACCTTCATAACTGTAGCACTAGTGGGCCTATCTTTCCTGTCTAGCCATGAATACAGCTCACAGAATTCACAAGTGGGTAGGACTGTCGATGACTCTTTTGTTCCATTAACATGCCTAGAGCAGCTAGTGCTATGAAATCCAGCAGCTTCCAGTCATAACCAGCTTGATTTCTCCATGTCCTATGACTCATGTAGTGTCTTTAGCAGTAGGGTCTTATCACAGATTTCTGGAGAGTAACCAAGAGCATCAGTCCCTATAGTAAATGTCATTCAGGATGAGTCCCATGATGCTGTGATAATAAATGATCCTCAAATCTCAATGAGCACAACAGTTTTGTTCATAACATCCTGTCCAGTGTGTATGGATAGAGGCTCTGTTCTCATCAGTCATACAGGGACACAACCTGACAAAAATCTGCACTCTCCCTCTGCATGAACAGCAGAACAGAACAGAAAAATGGAACATATGGGGTCAACTGGTGACTTGGGCCATTCAGTCAGGAGAAATACATGTCAAATACACTCATACTTCATGAGCCGAGAGAGTCACATGACTACTCTTTGTCAAAAAGAATAGAGAGTAATCCTACCATATGCTTGGAAGGAAGAAAACTGAGTATTCAAGAACATTCCATTGATGACTTGCTGTGGACTAAAGGTTCCCCCATTCATGTGCTGATGAGAACACATGGGATCTTTGGGAAAGGAATAAAGTCATGATGAGCACCTTCTCTGTGGGTGGGAAGCAGAAGTCAGGTCCTTTCTAACCTTCTCCATGAGACTCCAATGATGCTACATCTTTTCAAGAGACATCAGACAGCTAGATTTTCATATGAATGGGCTGCATCATGCCCACCTGCTATAGGCGCCCACCTGCCTGCCTCCCAGATGGGTCATGGGCTTTCACAGAGCTGGTCGTGTCCTTCACATTCTAGAATGTACCTACAGTGTAATTTGAAAACCACAGAAATCCATTGCTCACGGCTATGAAGGCCCTGGGCTAGAATCCAGAGCACGTTGAAGAGGTCA